GGGAAAATTTCCGCCGAATTTGCACAAGCTACGTGAGCCTACTTTCAAGCTAAATTTTACTCAGAGTATAGCCTTAATGTTCTGTTCCATGTGTTTCCTATAAAAAACAAGCTTGTAAGCGGTAGTTCTAGTAGTAATTCTGAATATTCATTGTTTTCACAAATGGCCTTCATCAATACTGTCTTTCCTAACTATGTCCCCCATTCCCTGCTACACAATTATCAACCACTAACTTGTTGACAAACCTGACTGTCAGTCAACAACAGATGGTGTACAACTGGTTGTAGGGAAATGTGATTTGCAACAGTATAATTATAAATTATCTTCATCTCCATGGCGGCTTACTGTTAATTATTTTTTCTAAATGTCCAGCGCTTTGTGTCCTTGAGCTTCTTCGTGACGAACTGCGACTCGAACTTTGTGGAGTCTTGGAACGTGCAGATGCTGCCGGGGTGTTTGCGTTGTTTACATCAGAATTGTCAAAAACAAGTTTCGAATTAAAATCAAACAACAGCGGTCGAACTGGTCTCTTTTCGCTCTCTTTGACCCACGGAGGTTCAAATTCGCTCGGAGGCGGTGAATCTGAGCGTTTTGTCTTTCTTTTTCCGAATAAACTGTCGTCGACATATGAAGGAGAAAATTTGACTGGTTTATAACTTCGTACTGGCGAGGCTTGGCTCGTCTGTGAATGTGAAGATGTTGGTCGAGATGGCGAAGTCGGGCAGTAAAATAACAAAGGTTTTGAAGGGGATGCTTTAGCTTTTCCATTGTCTTCCCAAGGTGGATCGAACGTTCTAACATCAACAGGTTCGTGTACAGCTGTGACACGTTCCCCAAAAAGAGATTCGTCGACCGATGACTGAACAAATTTTACTCGGTTGGCTTTAGTTGCTCGCATATTTCATAAGCATAGAGATTAAGAGGAAATATTAAACACATTGTTTTTGCTGATAAGAGATATCGAGGTCAATAGAAAGGGTTATTTCTCACCACAAGTAGAGAGAAGGTATAACATCTCAAAATGGCGTCCGTTGTTTTTTCCTTTTGGCATGACAACTCGCGTGTTACGCGCAGTTCGTGAGCGCGTGCGCGCGATAATCTCGAACCTATGATCTCTCCCCAATCTCTCCTCTTCTTGTTCTTCACTCTTATTATTATTATTATTATTATTATTATTATTTGAGTCTGCCCTACCCTGGAACACGCTAGTGTCAAGAAAGGGCCGTATTTCCTGACCTACAGTGAACTGCTGGCAATAGACCTGAATTAGGCTGGTATGGCCAGCCGAAATATTGTTATGAAAAAACAATACACGTTGTTCTGAATCAGCTTTGCAGTAGTTTTTGGACTTCTCGTTTTTGGTTCTTAATATTTTGGCTGATTAGATCTCTTTTCTAGAGATCCAACGAGCTCCAACGTTTACAACTAGTAGGATCTTCGTCCACGTTTTTGCAGCTTTATAATAGAATGCAATCAACTCTCTCTAAGACGGACCCCTTTAGGGCCTGCACTAAGTGTCCGTCTTACAGAGATGTCCGTCTTATATATAGACAGTCAAATAAAGAGAATAACAAAAGGCAGGGACCGGGTCTAGGTGTCCGCTTAATAGAGGTGTCTGTCTTATGGAGGTGTCCTCTAAGAGAGAGCCGACTGTAACCAAATAGAATCAGGAGCGCAGTAGCCCATATGAGATAACTTTATTTCTACACGATATTTCCATCAGTATTAATATGATAGCTAGCTACCTCTAGCTGTCTTCCATGAACTACAATATGAAAAGCACAAAATGCTAAAAAAGTTTAGAAACACTCCACTTTTTATGAGGCTGTGTTCAAAGGATATAATAGATTCCTATCGGTAGAGCAAACGATGTAATCAATTAACTGTTAACTCTTCTTTCTATTGCTTTTATCCTAAACGGCTTACAATCAAGTAAAATCCCGTAATCACTCAGGTCTTTCTCTTCGGGCAGGATTTCAGCATGCGGACACTCAAATCTAAATCTATGCAGCAATCGCGCAACGAACAAGAAAATCACTCTTTTGGAAAACTTTTCTGCGAGACACGAACGTGTTCCTGTCGAGAAAGGCATGATTCCTTCCACATGCAGTCGCCCCTGTTCATCCAAGAATCGGTCCGGCCGAAAACTAAATGGCTCCCGCCAGTAATCAGGATCGTGGTGAATTCCCCAAAGATTAACAAACACTGTGGTATCCCGAGGGATAAAGAATCCCGCAAGGGATGTATCCCGCGTTGTCGAATGAGGAATCGCCAAAGGATTCTCACTTGCAGATCGATGTAGCTCAGCAATAAACGCCTCCAAATATGGCAAGTTAGGTCGGTCTGAGAACTCTGGAAGTCGTGCATTTTTGCCAATGACTTCATCTAGCTCGCAATGTAACCTGGCCTGTACATCCGGGTGTTTGGTGACGTAATAAAGGCTCCAAATGATCACAACTGAGAGCGTTCCTGTGCCAGCTACAAACAGCTCCGAGGCGCTAAAAGTAAAAAAAAAAACATGGGAATTTGTAGTCGACCTGCGTTTATTACTCGCTGGACCAAAGATCTATCTTTTCTGACGATGTTGCTCACCAATTTATTAACTTACACTGAAAGCTAAAAACGTCCAGGAAGGAAGATATGCATCGTTTTACTTGGAACGAAAACGACCTAAGCAGTCGTCGAAGGGTTAATGTGAAAGATCACTTTAGAACAAGTGACTACTTCAGTGGCTGAAAAAAAGAAAAATCTTTATGATCAAAACTTCGATGGTGAGGCTAACTGGTCGGATGTTGTAAACTTTCCTTGTATGCAAATAAGTCTAGTGATGAGCAGGCGGTTTATTTTCGGCGATGATTGAAATGACGCGCCACGTTCACCATGGTTTTTTTTAATGTAATTTCTCTCGAATCGAGGCCCTTGATTTTCGTGTATTTACACACGCGTTATCAAAAATCGTCGTATACGATATAAAAAGTAAATATCCTTAAGAATACTCGACCGTCGATAAAGTAAGGAGTGAAAAACTTTTAGCGAGGAAATCCTGTTTCATGTACAAGAAGACGCTGTGGGAGAGTACATTAAGGCGTCGATGTACTATGCGTGTGTGATGTTTTTTTAATGTGTGTTAGGGATGTGTGAGTAGTGCAGTAGCGTTGTATATTTTAGGGGTTGGTTGAGATGTTATATTTGACGTCGCTGATTGGTAAGATAATGGGTGTAGTTTGTTAATCACTGAAACTGGTTTCTCATAGAATTTAATTTGAAGTTTGTAACAAAAAATGTTTTTTTTTGGAAGGTAAAAGAGATTTTAGGTGTTGCAGTGAGGTAGTTGTGGGAGTGGTAATTTGGTTATGAAGGGATAGTGTAGTTACAGTCTGATGTGAAGTGGTGGTTGTGAAAGAACTTGTAAATAGTAAAAAACATCCTTATACTTATTTTTAACATTGTTAGGCTTTCTAGTTAGGATTGTTTTTCGGTTTTTTTTATGTTTGTATGGAGAGAACGTGGATAAGGAAAAGTTCATTAACATAGAGAAGCGGGTATGAAGGTAATGAGGGGGTGGGGCTGAAATTTTGTGTGTGTATGTGTGTGTACGTTTGGGGGCTTTGAAAAATCGGTTGGGTCAAGTTGGAGGGCGTAAAATCTCGCTATAGAACTAAGGGCCTGGGTTCTCGTTTCATTTCTCGCGCGTTCAAAACCAAAAATCTCCTTCCTCGGTCTTTCTTTGCTCCGACGCCAAATGGAAACGCTTACTAAGCAGGCTACTATGGTCCGGGGTTGAAACACTCACGCCGTGTGCTGCGAGGAGAATTATTTTCCAAAGGAAAAATTTAAATCATTTAATAGTTTGTATCACTCGGTAAACCTTGTTTTTTCAATACGTTTGTTTTCTATTGTCGATCTGTTTGCTGGCATTAGCTGTGGGACGTATTGTAACGAGGATAAACGCTGTGTCGTGACATTTCGCGCGGCAGACTTTCGAGTCGCTTGGCTTGTTTACTTAGCTTGTTTACATTCGCACCTATTGCGTGCCTATAGCAACTTTGGATCAAAACAAGCGATCTCGATTACTCTATTTGGGCGCCGCCCACATAATTAATCGCCTCCTCATTTCTTATCTAATCTCCAAGCGAGAGCATTATTGTTTCTTATACTGAGGGAAGACCGGGAAGAGTACAAAATACCCGAGGGGGCATGATGTAGGCTCATCGCCAACCTTCACACCCTTAAAAGTTTGCAGTGCAAAAAACTCCCGCATCCTGTTGTATACCCTTTTCAAGACTCAAGTCTCAAGACCCTGAAAACCATACCCTGTTTAGCGGCACATACCCGAGGAATTCCCCCCCCCCCCGCCTCTTGGGGCTTTCCAACTTCTCGTATTTCGAGTAACTTTTTGTATTCTGAGCAAATTCTAGTTTTCTACCAATTCTATAAAATTATCGGAGCAACCTTTAGTGCTTAGCTTGGCCTTGCTTCTATATTTCACAGTGTTGTAGTGGACAATTTATGAATTTCCTGTGAGAAAAAGAGAAAGATAAGGGTCTTAAAATGCATCCAACCGGGCTGCTAGGTCAGCGGACTTTTAAAGAAAATTCAAAATGGCGGAAGAAAATGGTAAGAAGTCTTGATAATTTTATTGGCTCATACTAGAATTTTTACACGATAAATATTAATACTGATGCGTTGTCTTTACTCATAATTTTTTTTGGTTTCATTTGAGGATAAAGTTATTTAGCAACGCTGGTTACGCTGCAAAAGGGCACAAGGTGCTTGGAAATTTTACTTGTGTTGTTTAATTTGCATATTTTTGCATCAGACGGCGAATAAACTAAGGCGGGCAACAAAAAAAGTTTTTGTTTTGTTTTGTTTTTGTTTGTTTTTTTTTTACAAAAAGCAAATTTTGAGCAATTTTTTAAGAAATTACGGATTTTGTTTGTAAATTTTGAGCAACTTGAGGAAAACCCTAACCCCTCCCCCAAATTTCCAGTGATATGGCTGGGCTGGAGGGCGGGAAAAATTAAGATCTTCCCCCACCGTTTCAAACGCCACCGAAGCCTATAAGTCACTACGAGCGAGTTGGTCATTAACCTCGACAATCACACGAAAAAAAACAGAGACTGTGAATAAAATTAAACATTAATAACAAAACAGCAACGACAAAAGCGACTTGACGCTTCGGACGGAGAAGCCGTTCTTCTTCAGGGGATTGATGACGTCCTAACTTACCTAATTTGCATCATACAGAAACTTGAATATCTCGGAAAAGAGTGCAGATAATGCAAATCGAAAAAAGTTCTTGTTCAGACAAACGTCACTGTTTTTGTTGTTGTTGTTGTTTTTTTTTATCAGGCTTTAAAGGAACTTAAACATGTTTTGCCCTCGGTAGATATTTTTGGCCCAAGACCTGGTTCCAGAATAAGGATAAGCATAAGCGCATGGGATTAGCCATGAAGGTATTTAATTACCTCTAAACATTGCTTGAGAATATCATTTTGTGTTAGGTGGTCCTAGACTGCAAAACAGTCCGTATTTTTGCGTATTCAAGTGCGCGCGAGCAGTCAAACAAAAGGTCTGGAAAGAGGCTGAAAAGAGTGAGCGAGACTGGGGAGAGGCGCTAAAAATACGCACTGTCCGTTTTGCATACGTTATGTTCGTTCGAGTTACCCGCTTCTCCCAGCCACGGGCAATTCTCATTGGCTAAATTTCGATGTAAGCTGTCAACAAACTGTCAAGTAATGTTTCAACGAGTCATTCACAATATCCCGTGACGGTACCGTGATGAATAGATTCCTAAAGCTTTCGCTGAAATGACGGATGTTGATTAGCCTGTTCCAGGCTCCGTGCCTTCCTTTTACTTTCGCGTCTTCCCCACTATCTGAGAGCCTGGAACAGGCTAGATGTTGATCACCTGGATTTGCACTCGCAAGGATTAGGATTTGTTTTAAAATCGGAGCAGAGGGAAGCTTTAGAGTTGCTGCTCACGGGAAAGGATGTTTTCTGTTTCCTACCTACAGGATTTGGCAAAAGCCCTATTTAACAGATGTTTGTTCATGCAAAGAGTCCTTCAAGTTCCGTGCAACGGCCGACCGTCATTGTTATCTCGCCTGTGTAAAAAAGGGAGATCGGAGGACAACAAAAGACTATTACCTCATGCCAAAATACTGCTTGTTTCGATGAATTGTTTTCTCTGTCGGGTAGATTATGCTTTGGAGGAAAACGTTTTGATTGAGCAAATGTGAATTTTGTCCGCTTACTGAACATATTGTTGGTTTTCAGTGTCACGCCATTCAAAATAGATGAAAATAAAAATGAAGACCGTTCAATAGATAAAGTTCAGAATCTGGGAAATGAAAGGAGGTAAATATGCAAAGACCCTCGCCAAGATTCAGGTCAGAGGAATATTTCGTATACGAGATATCCGAAGAAATGTTTTACCCAAATTTATAGAGATTTGTATGGAGACACCATGCTGGTGCTCATCCTGATGAGCTCCAACATGGTGGACGGAAACCAACAGAAACATCTGTTACTGAGTTTTGCTACTGTAGTAAAGTTAAAGAATTCGTGACACTTTGTACAATGAATCGTGACTTGTTAATCTTGAGTGAACAATAGATCAATTACTAGCTTGATAGGAACCGGAAATATGATCCCTATTGTGTAAGCAAGCGTGCAAAAATGTGCATCGTGTGAAGTAGATAGTTAGATGTGCCTTCCGATCGGAATAACGTAAAAGCTACAAGCTACACCCTTTAAACTGATAAGATTTTGTGTAGGATGGAATGATTACTCAAACCTAGCCGCTCAGGATTTACGTAAGTAATGTAGGAGTAATAGTGTTTTAAGCTTTCAATCGAATTAGGGTGTTTACTAGAAAGGAAACCACATGCATTCCCTACTATATTTTCCCACGTATGATTTAGCTACCAATATGTATAAAAGTACCTTGATTTAGCAATAAACGATGAATGTGAATGTGATCAAGACTTGAGTGTGTGCAAGTCTCTTAGAATATTGATAGCCCGAAACCGGCCAGGTCTAGAGATATTCAAGCAGTCGACAGTCGACACTTATCTGTTGGCCACGAAATCAACTCCCGTTTACAACACTGGTGGCAAGCGGCGGGATCGAATTCAAGTCTTCGTGGATCAGTTCTACAAGGATCGAGGAGTTTGGCGATTCTTGGAGATAAGTAGAGCTTGTTTGTAGTTGATAAGTTGTCGGGAAGCTGTTTGTCGCAATTGGGTTTGCGGGACTTGTACTGGCTTGGTTGTGTTTTGGGTTATCGCTATTCTTGTGTACGTAATTGATTAAATTTATTATGGTTAATAACGAGGGAGAAACTCCTGCCCCTAGCTCAGGCGCTACTGCACAAGCGGCAACTAGTAGTAATAGGCCAATAGTTATGCCGGAGGCATTTTCGGCGGCCGGGAACGAAGAATGGGACTCGTGGCTTTCACATTTCGAAGATTGCGCCGTGATAAACGAGTGGAACGA